AAAAAAAAAAGTTACTTGTTGGAGTGGCTCTTGGTCTATTAATAATTACTTTCAATATGTTAGGCGTTTTTTAACCAAATAAATCCGAGTCATTCTATTACTATTCCTTTCAAAATGGTGACAAGTCAAAATTAAACATTAAAACTCCATTTTTATTTAATAAAAATTGGAGATAGAAGTAAATTAATTTATCAATGCATTTGTGGCATATTTGCTACGCACTGAAATTATGTATAGTATAAAGGTGTAGGTATATACCATTTGTTTTATCGTTTATTTCAGATAAGAATTTTCTGTGTTGAATCTGTTTTGTTAGTAGTAGTAGAAGTGTTTTATTTTTCTAACATTTTTTGAAACTCAATATCTTTTATCTTACCAATACATAGGCATACTAGTTGGCAAATCGTACATTTTTATATGCACTCACAGAAATCGCATGAAACTAAACATACACACTTGATACACTATTTTTTTTAAATAAAAAAAAAACACATTTATTGCTTTAAGAAAAAAGAAACATTTTTAATTCTTATGAAAAACAAAATATCCATATAAATAAAGAATGCACCACTGCGAAATTTTTTCATTACGAAAAAAATGCCATCCAAACTTTGTATTTTACATTTGTTGCCTTCTTTTTTGTTCCTAATATCGTTGTTTTAAAATATAAAATTTGAATTCATTGATTATAATCAAGGATTAAATTTAAAACATTAGGCATAACTTCATTTTTATGTTTTATAGACCAATGCGTGAAATAAGAGCTCTTTGCCGCAAATGTTTGTTGACATTTTTCAGAAGCACACTTCACTCTCTGAACACTTTTTGCCATAGAATGATTTTTAGATAGGATAGATTCGTAAGATCTCCGCAAGATCCGGATCCAAGCGTGCGTACGTAGCCGCATGATACATACATTCGTTATTTCGTATTGCTATGGCATGCGAGTCAAAGTAGGCGAAATAAGAAGAATGAATTTGCGTGCGTATTATATATGTATGCATCATGCGGCAGCGCACGCACGCTTGGATCCGGATCTTGCGGAGATCTTACGAATCTATCCTATCCAAAAATCATTGTATGCTTTTTGCATGTAATTTTTCATGCCTTTTTAAATTAAACAAATTAGCTTTTATTTTTTCTCCACAATAGCAACACAAAAAAAAACATTTGGTTTAATACAATTAAAAATATAATCAACAAGTTTTTATTTACACTGATTATTTTTTAGCACGCTTAGCTGTCAAAGCAATGTTATGGATACATGACACATATATAACATATCTGACCGCCAGGTGGCGATTTGTAGCTAAAGGGATAGATATATGCTTTAGTCGTACCGGGTGAAGAAACCTTATCATCGACAAATTATTTATAAGTGTTAATCGTTATCATTTGTTTTTTACACACAAATTCAGAATATGAGTGTAAAATGCCACAAGAAAAAGCAGGCATCTGTATAGATTGGCGTCAATGTGTAGCTCTTTACAATCTGCTCACAAAAAGAAATTTAAGATTTTCGGAACGAACACAACTAAAGCTTAGTCAATGTGCTTTCAAGAATGAATTCCCTTGGGTAATTTTGATTGACATTTGTTAGAAATGATGAGGTTTTTGTTTAAACTGTAATAAATCGCATTTTAATTAGGTTTGTTGCCCTTTTGACCCGAATCCGACAGATAAATTACCAAAATCTGGCTGTTGTGGAAATCAACTGGACAAAAACGTAAATTAATCAAACGTTTATCACTGATTTCACATGGGTGGCTTTAATTGAATACACAATGCGTAATTGATTTTTTTGCATTTTTTAAATTTGAATTTGATGTTTTTACTTTTCCTTGTAGCAAATGTATACAAAAGCTATCGTTGTGGTGGTGTCCTTATCAATGATAACGATGTTTTAACAGGTATAAAATAAGTAATGATATGAAGACCATATAGCGTTTAAATTTGGCAATCTACATTGTTCAAAAGTGTTCGCGTTCAAAAAAGCTACCATTTAGTCGATTCAAGCGAGCACAATCAGTGGCTAATGTCAAAATTATTCGAAAAACATGACCAGAAATGGAGATAAGAGGTGAATAATCAAAACAATAATTTTCTATTTCAAATTCAAAGCATCTCATTGTGTGAATGCAGAATTATCAGGTTTGAAAAGTCGAAATAATTTTTCTGAAGTACTCGTTCAACTAAAGTATATTAAATAATATTACTTTCTGAAACGAAAAGGCGTTCGGCTTGGTGAGTGGAATCTAAGAGAACATATGGATTGCGAAGAGAACGTGTACTCTGGACCAGTTCAAGATATTTGTGTGGTAGAACGAATTCGTCATGAAGACTATCATCCAAATTCAATGGTCAATGACATAGCTCTCCTGCGTTTGGAAAGACCGGCTCCATATACATCGTGGATCCAACCTATTTGTCTGCCCACTTCAAGCGATGGTCCCAAGGAAAATGTCAACGGATTTCCATATCAGGTGTCAGGCTGGGCCAGAACGGGCTGGGAAGTACCTGGAAGTGCTGGAAGTAGTATCAAGCTAAGGGGTGAATTTGATGGTTTCGCAATTGAT